ATTTTTTTTTAAATTATTTTTTACATTTTATTACTTATTTTTTAAAATTAACATTTTTTTCTTATTTCAATCTTTTTTTCCCTTTTACCTGTTATTTTTTTATAAATTTGTAAAAAAAATTTAAATTTTAAAAATATAAGATATATTTTAAAAATATTAGATATATTTTTAACACAGGCGCTGTGGCCCATAGCGCCTGAGTGGAGCTATGGGCCATAGCGCCCCAAATAAATTTTTTTTTTCGTTTTTTAATTATTTTTTACATTTTATTACTTATTTTTTAAAATTAACATTTTTTTCTTATTTCAATCTTTTTTTCCCTTTTACCTGTTATTTTTTTATAAATTTGTAAAAAAAAATTTAAATTTTAAAAATATTAGATATATTTTTAACACAGGCGCTGTGGCCCATAGCGCCTGAGTGGAGCTATGGGCTATAGCGCCCCAAATAAATTTTTTTTTTTTTTCGTTTTTAGCCGATTTGAGTCGCTATAGGCTATATCGACTCTTTGAAGGTCTCCACCAGCTGCAGCGACTCTACCAATATGACGTTCATGGCTCATATTCAGACCCAAAAATGCCACGTGTCATGGGTGTCACTATGGGCCATAGCGACACCTAATAAAAGAGCCCCAAAAATGTAAAATATTTCAAAACAACCCCATTTTAATAAATACTTTCTAAAACTGCACTACAATGGTTGTTTAGCCTTGGAAAATGGATTCAGAAACAGTAAAATGAATGGGAAAGGTAGTTGGTGTGACGTGGTGCATGACTTATCATGAATAGGCGTACGTGGATAAGGACGTTGGTCTAATGTGGAAGCTACCTGGATGTTACCTCGTAATGCTTTTATCTACACCCGTCGACAAGTCCTTCCCCATACAACCAATTAATAATATTTGATATTTCATGTCTTGGCCCTTCGAATTGAATTGAAACATTTTATCTACCCATCCAGTCAATCAAGTTGCTATCCTCCTCTTTTTTCAATTTGGCCAGCTTGGATCCATTCCCCCGTTGAAACTCCTTTGACCTTTCATTTTTACCCCTGCCCATCAAAAAAATTACCCATTCATTAGTAAACTAAACTTCCCTTTCTAAACTATGCTAAATGTACCGTGATTATTCCCTCATAAACTAACTGCATGTTCAAGTAGCTATGAAAATATATAAAGTGCTTGGAGGGGGCTATTGCCCTGCTTTTAGTGCACAGTCCTATTTGATTCAAGCATTATTATTTCTGATGAAAATACACATCTTTAGATATATTATCTTCTATCATTTAATGTATGTAACTTATTTTGAATGCTTAGAGTATGTGTGAGACTAGTGCAAACACTTGATGTCCGTGAGAATTTACCTGACTAATTGTTGACTTAAATTAATGAGTAACTTTAAAGAATCAAACTCTCGTGCTTGTTTGTCTGCTTATGGGTGATTTGAAAAAGATTTTTTTTGCATATTTTGGTCTTTGAAAATTTCCTTTGGTCACAGTATTATAAAATGACATCTACATCTAAACTTGAGCACCAAGTTTTGTAGCTCCTTGTGCGCCATGCATAATCATGATACATGCTCGCCGCCGTCTATTTAGTGGTCCAAATGTCATTTTATTTTAGAATTAAAAAATATAGTTTAATGAACATGGTTAAGAAACATCTTTGTCAATCGTGAACTACTTGGACGTAGAAAGAGCTAACAGGTCCAAGAGAAATGAACGTTTTGTTGTGTAGTGAGTTTGCTACCTTCTGGGAACGTTCTTCATTCTTCCCACTAGCTACCAACTTCCATTTCACCTTACTTTCTGTCTTGTGCACTAAAGGACAAATCTTCAACTGGGCTTGGGCTCTGGACTAGGTCCTAATCAGGATTGAATTTGCCCATATATTGAAATGCACGTACAGATGATTCCTGTTTTTAGTTTGTTCTCCAAACAAAACAAAATCTTTAATATGAGCCCGTTTGACTAATTGGGCCAGTACACGAGAAACTAAGAAACCTGCCTATGCCCAAAGGAAAAATTATAACGTAGTATATGTCTGTCCCTTGTCATTGTCAATGGTATCTAAGAGTGGAAATAGATGACACAGCGTGTTAGGAGCATGTTATTTGTTCTGTTTATTAATTAAAATATTTCAAGCTTTAGAGTTTTAAAAAAACCTAATAGGTTTAATAAGCTGATCTGTTTAAAATATAAAATATTATTTTATAATTAATATTTATATTTAATATACATATAGTCATATACTTAAATTTATTAGTCGATTGACCTATTTATAGACTTTATATAAATGAGGTCACGTATTGGATAAAACAAAAACAGGTCCATGTTTTGAAGTTAACGCAAACTTTTAAACAATTTTGAATTTTATATATGTTTAAGGGAATGAATTAGTAACACGTGAAGATACAAAGATTAATAAAAGTAAAAAGTACTAATAATAGATTCAGATGACCTGATAATTTTTTTATTGGGTTGTGACGAGCATAAAAATGAAAAGAAAAGGCTATGATAGGAGTTTTGTTGGTGTGAGTGTGAGACAATCCTATTATTTTCATGATTGTCAGTATTGATGAAAAGCAACAAATGCAATAATAGAATATCCTCTATGCATGTTTGTATTATGAGAAGAAATAGAGAAGGGAAAGGGACAACGAGTCACATGTCCTTGATCGATATGGAATGACGACGATACCCTTGTTCCCTAAAGTCTTCAACAATTGTATACAAGAGTTATTGTTTCAGCTATTTTATTATTGGCAACAAATGTGGTCGTTGATAAGGTGTTATATCCACATGGAATAAAAGTGAGAATTAATCTCGCAGGACTCACATTAGTTGTGGTCGCGCATGGTCAATAATCACCCACTTCAATTGTGACTACTTTATTCATTTTTAATACTTACTGTCCCATTTGTCTAAAGTATTAGTACTTTGTAAGTGGCATCACGTTCGCATGCATAAAAGAATCTGAACCTGTTGCGTTATTGTTATATATATGGCTGACAGGTTGAGAGAGAAATAGAAAGAGCAAGTCTGTGAGAGAATGGAAAATTGGGTGATTCTGGTTGTGATGTCTTTGGCATTATTAGCAATGGGAGCAGAAGAGGTCACATATGATGGAAGGTCCCTTATCATTGATGGACACAGGAAAATACTCTTCTCCGGTTCCATTCACTATCCTCGCAGCACTCCTCAGGTAACTAGCTAATGCCTTCAATTTCCACTTCATCAATAAACATGAATCTAGCATTTCATTCACTCCCACTATTCTCAAAAGCTTAAGCAATTCTGAGTTTCATACACAGAAATTTTACTTTTTATCAGAGGAATGACTGCTATCTGTAAGAATTGAACTTCATGGTAGAAAGTAGAAACTTTAGTACAATGTCATAAAAAGCTAGCTCAACATGTTAGTTGAACATTAATAGGTTTAATGATATTGCTTTTCTTGCAAGATATATATATTCGGTACGCTACATTTCATGACTTTCCCTGCTTTTATAACGACTTCATCTTTCATTTCTGATAAGACGGCCTTAAACAACTGACTTTCTTTGGCATTTCACATGATAATATATCACATTTTAATTTGTTGTAATAGTAATAGTAGTGAAGTGTTTGGTTACTTCGCTTAAGTTTATTTAGCACCCATTATTTAGTGAAATACGATTGTTAAATCACACTCGTAAATTTCACATTACATTCAAAACATTATTAGCTATGGAGTCCTCACACTTATAAGTTATTCAACTTATTCTATTCTTATTTAATAGTAGTATAAGATTTCTTCACATTTGCTGCTCAAAAAAATAGATAACAAAAGGTTAAAATTCCTTGGTTACATATATAATAATACATTAATCTAACATGATACAGTTTAAGTTTATTTTTTTGTCTGACATTAATAAAATTTAAACCTAAAATTATTCTAACCCCACTACTAAGGTAGATATATTGAGTCAACAAAAAGGATTTTGAATACATAGTATTATCTTTCAATTTGGTGTAAACGACATAGAAACCCGGGTTGGAAGATTTTAATTAAGGTACAACATGGAAGAGTTGTTTTGCACGAGTAGCTAGGCAGAAAAGAAGGGCAGAGAAAGAGAAAGTGAGGAATTTTGACAAAAGCTTTTTGTGCAGATATGGCCAACGTTGATAGCGAAAGCCAAAGAAGGAGGTCTCAACGTGATTCAGACATACGTGTTTTGGAATCTACACGAGCCCCAACCCGGACAGGTATATCATTTTTCTCTTTCTCACTCTCACATGCGTTCCTATAAATATCCTTCACACAAATTCACCAACACTAATATTTCCTTCATTTTTTTTATATATTAGATAAAATACAATTTTCTCTCCTTTTAATCTTAATTTCCTTCTTTATAATTTTTTTTCTTTACTATTTCAACTTTTCTATATACCTAAACCCCATTTTTTCTCTCCCGCGATCATTTTTACTTCTGGGAAATACTTTTTATGTCACTTGGTAAAAATTTAATTGACTTGAGTAGTCTTCAATTTCTTTGTCAAATAAAATGGAAGTGAGATTAATTAATTTCTACACTACACACCCAATCTGTATGTATATGTGCAAAGTATTTACGTACATAGGACAGTATGATTTCAGCGGCAGATATGACTTGGTGAGATTCATAAAGGAAATCCAAGCTCAAGGGCTTTATGTGTGCCTCAGAATTGGACCTTATGTTGAAAGTGAATGGACATACGGGTAATTTCCCTTCTATCTTTTCTAGCTCGATAAGAACCTCAAAATCAAATAATGCCTCTTTTAAACAGTATTATGCTATTTGAGTAACAAAGTATAGACTGTGGAGATTCATGGTTTGTCATATCATATACTTTTACAATATGTTTATACATATCATGGCTGAATATAAAATATGGTGGGGGTGGCAATATATAGTTTAAATATTTGTAATATGCATGGATGAATTAAGTTTTGGACGCGGTCAAGATAGTGTGTGACTGTTTTTAAGCTTGTTTGTTGGTTTTCCTTTTTATGTTAACTATTTATTATATACATAAATAAACTATGATACCATCATACTCGGCTTTATCTAAATTAATTAGCAAACATATTTTGGACTCATTGTGATGTACTTGTAGGGGATTCCCATTTTGGTTACATGATGTTCCTGGCATTGTCTACCGAACTGACAACGAACCATTCAAGGTATGTTAGCTAGGCCAACCATGGTTTTTACCTTTAAACCCCTTATTTTTGGGTATATAATGCAAATCATTAAAAAGGAAGAAATCATGCTATCATGTTCAAAATTAATTTAGTTTAATTCAATAGTATTGTCTTCACTGTCAAATGAATTTCAAGATACATTAATTCGATTTTTGTGAAACTATGCATACCGATTTACAATAGAAGTTCAAATTCAAAATTTCTAAATAAATAAATAAAAGCAATTTTGTAAATTTTAGTGGTGAATTAATTAGAATCTTTTTATAAGTGTGATTATTATAGCATCTCTTTATCTTTTTTTTCTTAAAATTTATCTATTTCAATATTTAGATGTACATGCAAAATTTTACGACAAAAATAGTGAGCATGATGCAATCAGAGGGCTTATATGCTTCTCAAGGAGGCCCAATTATACTGTCACAGGTATGATTCCTTCCAAATGAGTGGAATTATTCGACCAATACTTTAATGTACTAAAACCTATTTTTATCTTTTTTATTAAATCGTAATAACATGGAAAATAAAGATTGAGAATGAATATCAAAACGTCCAAAAAGCATTTGGAGAAGAAGGATCGAGGTATGTTGAGTGGGCTGCAAAAATGGCAGTGGGCCTCAAAACTGGCGTACCGTGGGTTATGTGTAAGCAAACTGACGCTCCTGATCCAGTGGTCAGTTCCATTCAGCCCAACTTTTTATTCTAAAAAATTTATCATGCATTTTAATTTTTTTTATAGAAATTATTAAGAAACTACTTTTCAAAATTTTTGACATTTTTAATTATAAATTACTTTCGTTCTTTAACAAAAGTTAACGAATCTTCAATTTCTTAGTTTTATTTTTTCATCAAATATTTACTTCACTGCCAATGGCTTAGAAGTTTTTTTTTTTCCATAATTTGTTGACAGCTTGATTTTTTATATATTTTTTTTTTTATTTTTTTTTTATTTTTTTGCAGATCAATACATGCAACGGGATGAGATGTGGGGAAACTTTTACGGGACCAAATTCTCCCAACAAGCCCGCGTTGTGGACAGAAAATTGGACATCTTTGTACGTTCCTTTGATTCTACACAATCACTAATCCTAGTTTTTTATTTTATTTTAAATAATGTAACATTCAAATATCTTTTCATCCATTATTAATTTGCATTTGTGAGAGCATAAAAGGCATTTTATTCATTATCCCAAATAACCGTTTGGTTTTTGTTTTTCTCTCTTGAAGCTATCACGTTTATGGTGGTGAGCCATACATAAGGTCTGCCGAAGACATTGCATTCCATGTCACTCTTTTTATTGCAAGAAAAAATGGAAGCTATGTCAACTACTACATGGTATCGACATTAACATATTCAATTCTTATGATTCAATAGGATCCCTCTCCTAATTAGTTTTCTGTTGCTAGAATATCATAAATTGTTTGAAAGCTAGCTCCAATTAAGATAAAGCTAATTAATTTTCCCACCATTCATTTATCTTCTCATAACTCATTAGTTACATTGTTTTTGTAAACTTACTTAGTACCATGGTGGAACTAATTTTGGGAGAACGAGCTCTGCTTATGTTATAACATCCTATTATGATCAAGCTCCACTTGATGAATATGGTAAACATAGAACATTAATTATTCCCCTCTACATCCACGTGATGAATATGCAATAATTTCTTTCTTTATTCTAATTTTTGCACTAGGTCTATTAAGGCAACCCAAGTGGGGACATCTTAAGGAGTTGCATGCAGCAATCAAGTCTTGTTCTACCACTTTATTGGAAGGAAAGCAGAGCAATTTCTCTTTAGGTCAACTACAGGAGGTGAGTACTTTCATAGTTTCATTCCCTTTCTAGAACATACATCTATATTAATTGCATTACAACCCTTTATTTGGGTTTTGGTTTCAATTCAATTAGGGTTATGTTTTTGAAGAAGAAGGAGAAGAAGGAAAATGTGCTGCTTTCCTTGTAAACAATGATCATGTGAATATCTTCACTGTCCAATTCCGCAACAGATCATACCAATTGCCTCCAAATTCGATCAGTATCTTACCAGATTGTCAAAATGTGACTTTCAATACAGCAACTGTAAGTTAAAACCTTGTCAGCATTAATTAGTGTGTATGCTTGGTAATTATATATTAGTGATTAATTGTCGAGTTTAACGGTCATGTGCACCAATCAAATATCACCCTTAGTATAATTTTTTCCTTATTTATTTTAAAAGTCACCAAACATATTATAAATGAAGTTCTAATTAGATAACACAATATAAAACTATTTTACATGTGCCAATGTATCACTTATTTTTCCTTAGTTGTCTGATTAGATATACACATTCATGCTATAGGTAAATACAAAATGCAACAGAAGAATCATAAGTCCAGTACAAACTTTCAGCTCAGCAGATAAATGGGAGCAGTTTCAGGATGTCATCCCTAACTTTGACCAAACATCGTTAATATCAAACTCATTACTTGAGCATATGAATGTAACCAAAGACAAATCAGATTACCTTTGGTATACGCTAAGGTTAGTTATACATCCACTTAATTATCTTACTTCTCACAAAATGGTTCAAATATATCTGACACGTTTCTTATTATCTATTAAATCACATCATTGATGGTTTAATTCATAAACTTAATACTAACTAATGACGAAATTAATTGATTTTGTGAACAGGTTTGAACATAATTTATCTTGCAGTGAACCAAAACTCCAAGTTCAGTCAGCTGCTCATGTAGTCCATGCTTTTGCAGACGGCACATACTTAGGTAAATATTGAATCATATAAATCTCAAAAAGGCATTGTTGATAGTTGAACTTGAACCCTATAGTGTTGGTTTAAAAAATTAGTGAACAATAGTAATAAAATAAATTAAAGGGAAAAAAAAAAGAGTGAATTAAAGAGAATATGGAGTGTTTAAATGATTTATAATGTGACTGATATAATATTATCCAAATACACTTAGTTAATAGAAATCCAAGAGATTCATAGTTATAAAGAAAGTGAGGTCATATGTTGATTATTTGTGGTAGGAGGGGCACATGGAAGTCACGATGTGAAGTCATTCACCTTAGAGGTCCCTGTGACCCTAAATGAAGGGACAAACAATATATCTATACTAAGCGTTATGGTTGGACTCCCGGTAATATTTATTATCTTCCCTAAAAATTAATACCCTAATTACTTTTATCATCAAGGAAAAAATGTTTAGTTTTTTTTTTTTTTTGCTAATTATAACAATTGTGTGACGATGTGTTAATGAAAAGGATTCAGGAGCATTTCTTGAACAGAGATTCGCTGGCTTAACCACGGTGGAAATTGAATGCAGTGAAGAGTCCTACGATTTGACCAATTCTACATGGGGATATCAGGTTTAATTTCTCTTCATTTTCTGCGTTATTATTCCTATACATTTAATTGCTGCAAATCTACAAGATTTAATTGTACAGCATGACATATTTTCCAACGTGATGTTACAGGTTGGATTACTAGGAGAGCAATTAGAAATATACGAAGAACAAAGTGACAGTTCTATTCAATGGTTTGAACTAGGGAATACTACTGATCAAACAATCGTTTGGTACAAGGTAATTTATGCAATAAACCATTGTTTTTGTTTCTTTACGTACACTAAAAACTAAGAGGGGCAAAGGAATGAAAAAAGTGTGGAGTTTTAATAAATAAAATTAATATATAGTATTAGTGATCATAATAATGCTATTGCAGGCGACATTTGATTCACCCAAGAGTGATGATCCTGTTGCGTTGAACCTTGAGTCTATGGGAAAAGGCCATGTTTGGGTGAATGGACAAAGCATTGGCCGTTATTGGATCTCGTTTCATCATTCCAAAGGCCAACCTTCACAAACTCTGTAAGTTAACCCATCATGCCCAATTTTTTTTTTATAATTTAAATGTGCCATTTTTCTCTGTTTGAAACTCGTTTTTTCTTAATTTGATACTTACATGCAAAAGTTTGTAAACGGATTTTGTGAAGAAAAATGTTTTCAAAATATTACTGTAATGTCATTAGAGCAAGATGGATGTGAGTAACGGATTCTTACCTACTTTTATTTGATCTCTATATATGAAAGAATGTTTTTTAAGTTAGTCTTTATACATACCAATACATAATATAAAGGTAGACAAAAAAGACAATGCAATAAGATGAAAAACAAGCAATTTATGACACTAATACATCAAAAGTTTAAGCATGTTTTGACCTATAAAATAAAGTAACAAACCTAAATAAGGAACTTCAATTCTCTTCAAAAAAAAAAAAAACAAAAAAGGCTTTAACTCATGAAAGTTTATTCACATTAATGAGTAGAATCAAATACTTTTTATCCAACTCTCAGATACCATTTTCATGAATATGCTTCAGTAGAGTGTTTGATTTTACTTATAAAAGATCAAAACAAAACAAAATGTTAATTTGCATTTGTGCGTTACAGACATCTTTTTTTTTTTTTTTTTCATTAGAGAGTGGTGAAAGTCTTTCTCTTTATAGGTCAAAATCCAATATCAAATTTGCTCATATTTCTGCTTAATTATTGTATTATAATGAGAAATACTATTTTTAATAAAATTTTATCATTGGCTGATATATTTTACTATTGCAATATTATAAAATTAACATGATATTATTCGTATTGAATAAAAGTAGAGCAGAAAGTTAAATTCAGATATTGGTAATATTGGTTTTGATTTATTTTTGTTGATGGCAACACTGAACAGGTATCATGTGCCTCGCTCGTTTCTGAATGAAAATGGAAACATATTGGTTCTGTTTGAGGAGGATGGTGGGAATCCTCTTCATATCTCCCTCAACACTGTTTCATCTACAAATATAGATGACACTTGTCTAAATAATCACTAATTCCTCACTGCTACTCAATATTTATATGAGAAAAAGATAAAAACACATACAATTCAGGAATATTTTCTTGCACATTCATAGTAAATCAATTGATCCAATGTGTAATATTCTTCAAATCTTAATTGATTGGGATTCATAATCCAAATACTCTTTGGAATTTATTGTAACTTTTAACATTAAAGGAATGAAAGAGAAAGATTGAATTATTTTTACTTTCTCCGGCGTACGTATAATGGAAAACTATTAAAAAATAATTATCACATTAGAGACTTTGTATAGTATATATGAAATAATTACAAATATTATTTTATTTCTTCTAATAACTAGCTAGAATTTACGTGAGAATTAAAATTCGATGGTTTTTTCAAAATCAAAAAACTTATTGGGAAACAAATTGATGTCTAAAGAAGAGAACTCAAACCTCAAGTATAAACGCGAATTGTTGTGAATGAGTGTAATTAAAAGAATGTATCAACGATATAAATTATTTATCGTAATATGAAGTATAGTAACAAAACAATTATTTATTACCAATTTTAATTATTTTATAAATTATATATTTAAAAAATGTTATAAATTTTAATTTTATAAAATAAAATTTATTCCGTACATGGTACAAATTAAAATACTGCTTTAGTTGGACATAAAATACTACTTTAGTTGAACATTTTGAATAGAATTAATAAATCTTAATATCTAAATAATGAATAAGAGAAAGAAGAAAAGAAGAATGCGTTCTACTCCTCTTCTTTGCTTGGGGTTAGCTTTATGCATGTTATATATTGCTCAAGTTGTAGGATTTGTGAGTAAATTTCTATCAAATACTTATAAACAATTTTTGCAGTTATATATAGTAGACTACTTAATTAACTTGAAGAGTGGGTTATGATTTATTAATTGGACCTACATTTTCAATTTTCTTTATTTTATCTACTTTTGAACAACATTTCATACATTATTTATATAATCAGTTAAACAATTATCTTTCAACTATCTTAAATTATTATCATTTTATTTTTATAAATCAATTTTTATATATTAAATTTAAACTTTTATCTTGTAGGAATATTTTTAAAGATTTTTCTTCAATTACTATTTTAATTTTTATTTAAAATAATTATTTATAAATTAAATATTAATATTTTAAAATAAATTATCAATAAATAAAATAATTTTTTTTATTAGAATATAAATTATTTATCATAAATTTAAAATATAATTTATATGTTTAAAAATATTTATGTACATTAATTTTAAATACAATTTATATATTCAAACGTATTATTATTATATATATAAGTTATTATAGATTTTAATTATAAAATACTAGCATATTTAATTTTTAATTATCTGTTCTATTTAATATAATTTATCTATTTTAAATTAAATTTTAATATTTATAAGATTATTAATAATGAAAATATCTTATATTATAATTTAAATTATTTAATATAAATTCAATATATTTATATTATAAAATTAATTATTTAAAAACATTTATTTGTTACTCATTCAGTTATATATATGTATATATAACATTATACACATCTATACTTGTTTGTTTAATAATAAGTTAATAACCTTCCCATCCCAACTGAGGTTAAAGCGTGACACGAGTAGAACAGTGATATGAGCCACGTGTATAGAAAAGCAAGTGTCGTGCATGGTAGTCGACACGTTACTATGTTACATGTCACAACAATTCTGCCTCGTGTTTCAGTTCTAAATTCTGATCATTCCCTCTGCATCTCTATCTAAAAACATGTCAATGCACCATTGCCCATAAACTATCAACCCCACCTTTCATCTCTAGTCATTTTCATCGCATCTTTTTCGTTCAGTTCAGCCACCACTTAGCAGGTACGTCATGTACACTGTACAGTACATGCATGTCTACGTATTATTTGCTTCTCTATCATGCATTACTGTTCAAGTAACTTACAATTAAAAAAATATACATAGCCAGTGCTTTTTATTCAATAAAAATAGAATGCATAAATATATGTTAATAAATTTTACATTAGATGTAAGTAATAAATCTCTAGTTCTCTTTACCTGAACATTTGTATTCAAGTTTTGACCTAATTTATACACATTTTGCATGAATTAATTGCTTCTTTGTAACCAGGAAACAAGGTTAATTAAGTGGAGTAGAAGCGATGTCGGGGGTATCATTAGCAATGTCTGGGCCTGATGAACATGGGAGCATGAGCTTGATGGGCTCATTACGTGTGATAGAGCTTCAGCTAGTGGCATTCGTGTTAGTTTTCTCGGCGAGTGGCCTCGTGCCTCTTCTGGACCTAGCCTATTCGGCCCTGATCTCGATCTACCTAATGCTACTGGGGCGTTTCGCGTTTCCCTCGCATGGTTTTGGGCCGGCCCACATGTTCGAGGGAAGCGGGGCTTTCCACGTGTACGTGGTTATTGGGAGCACGGTGGGCCTGTTCCTGCCGCTGGCCTACGTGCTTGGTGGGTTTGGGCGAGGGGACAAGGCCGCGGTGCGTTCGGCGAGCCCACACTTGTTCTTGCTGTCGTTCCAAATACTGACGGAGAATGTGATAAGTAGCTTGACGCTGTTTTCGGGACCCGTGAGGGCCATGGTGCCTTTGATGTACACTGTGCGAAGGATCTTTGTGGATATTGATTGGACACATGATGTATGGCTCAACAACACTTTGCCCACAAATCCACACCTTAAGGTTCTTTTTCTATTTGCTCCCTCAGATTATCGATGTCGCTTAATTCTTGCATCAACTTTTGTTACTTGCTCTTCGTCTTATTTATTTTAGTTTAATTATCTAAGTGTTTAAAAAGTTTTATTTTGATTTTATAAAATGTTTATGCTAGATTAAATTTTTTAATTTCTAAACACATGATCGATTGGGGCTATTGTTTCAATTAGTTGGCATGAAATTTTTTTAATTTAATCGATAGTCACAATACATTATTAACATTTCTGATGTATTGTTATAAAATGGTAGAAAGACTAATGTGAACTAATTTAATCTAAAATTAAGGTTGTGAAATTGAAATATAATGTGTGTGGAAGAATAAAAGTTTATTAATATAAAAACTCATATTTTACCCTAAATTTTAACGAATCAATCATTAAATTAAAAAAAATTATTAAATTATTAAATTAAAAAAAAATAAATAGATTAAATATACAAAGTTTTTTAAAAAATTAAAAAACAATTAATTATAAAATTTTGTATTTATTTAAATTAATAAAATAAAATATCAAATAATTTTGTAAAATTAATCTATAAATTAAATTTTTTTTAATTCTATTACTGGATCTTTAAAAATTTTATAGAATTAATTTATAGATTAAAAAATTTTAATTCAATTATTGGATTATTAAATTTTGATTGAATCTCTATCTATATACACATATATTTTCCTTTATTTTAATAAATTATTTATACAAGTTTCAAACTTAAAGTTATGAATGAAAATTTGGAGGATAAAGGTTTGTGAAATGAATGTTTGATTAAATTGTTTACACAAACAGGATAAAGCGTGGTTTTGGTTTGGGAGGATATTGGCGATGGCTAATCTGGTTTATTTCTCCATCAATCTTTTTGGGTTCTTGATACCAAAGTTCCTGCCAAGAGCTTTTATGAGGTATTTCCAAGAAAGGGAGAGATTTATGCAAAGATAGCTGAAGAAAAGCGATATGTGGTCAACAAAAAATCCCATCCACACGATATGAAATCACATTAACTAAGGACTTTTGCCAAAATATCTTGCTATTTTAAAGAGGTTAGTACTACCTCAAAATTGAGATGAATTAATGTGTGTATTATAGCTGCGTGGATTAATATAGCTCTATGTTACATTTGTTAACCTTTATGGTGTTCTTTCATGAACACATTAATCACAGGTGAATCGTCATTCGAGTCTCTTACCTCAAAAGGAAATCATCTGGAGAAGTCATGTCCCCATGAAGTTGTTTTAGTACATTTCTGCTTGGATAGGTTCTGTAATACAGCTACTTCTAACTCACGAAAATCTTCCGAAAGTCTATGATGTTATTAACAGATCATGTGTATCTTCCTCTTAAAGATTTGCTTTATGTTTAATGACTCGAGAAAATACAATAAATGCTTTTTTCTAAGATATGACGGACAAACCAAGTATTAATTTTACAGTTTCTTCTTAATTACATAGTGATTTTCTGTTGACTACATTCTATTCAAATTTTCCTCAAGTTTTACTACGTCCCTTCCTTTTTCTAAAAAGGACAGGAAGTAGAACTACGCGAAAATGAATCCTCTCCCATTTTTCTCTTTTAATACAAAATATGAAGATGATACATACTCCAACAATGATAGATACTTCAAAAAAAATTGATATTTATGTTTTAAAATTTTTAGTAATGGAAGAAATGGATTTTAAAAGGTGAGATATTTCTACAATTGGGTGAGAACTTTTTAGTACAAAGAATGAGAATATTTTGGCACAGTTTTTGAAGGAAACAAATAGAACCTTTTAAAAAAAGAAAAATTGTCTTGTGTTTTTTTTTTGTCCTTAAAGGAGGAATATTCTAGCCTCTAGGTGTAAATTGAAGTTTAACTAAATTTATGCAACACAATCAATGAATAAATTAGCATTGATGGTCACTCTCAATTAAATGAGAATTTCAACTCTTTAAAGCGATAAATTGCAATAGTTAAGAAATAGTAATGGATGTACATTTAACAAAATCAATACTTTTATTTTCTTAAATAGTTTCAAAGATGAAAGTTGTGTTGTTGGCTAATTAGACATCTCGATAGGTACAAGTTCAACACTAAACAGTGAACAAGAAAAATAGGAGGTTAACACAACGAACCCGTTCTCTATTGATACCCTCACTAAACAAAAACACCAAGGGGGATTTATCCCATACTAAACAAAAATGATCATATACACACAGTAGGGTCAGTCTATCCATCGCCACATATTTGCAGTAAGACCAGGCCGCGGCATTCCAGAGATAAACACTAAAAGTAAAAAGTATACAAGGTTATCTTTCATTCATCATTGTTTCTATAAGTGCAGCTTCTTCTTCCTGGAGACAACACAACAATAAGAAATGCATCGGGGTCAAACTCAAAAAAAAAAAAACGTTAACTAGGAATAATGTATCCACATACCACCAAGGCATTAAATTCAGTCTCCTCATCTATGGCATCAATAACAGCAGGATCCTCGAGCAGATCCTGTTCAGAAATGTTACCATTAGCTGCAAGTGTATACAAGCAATTAAAGCTGAAACTGAGAATGAGATCATACTTGAGTAATTGACATTGTTTAGAGTGGATATTGCAACCAGAAAATATTAAGGCAGCCAAATTCTAAAGATCTTTCTACTTTAATTTTTTTTTTCTGTTTTCTTTAGTTATTTTCACTTAATTAAAAAAATTACCATATTTTTATTTTATTTTCTGTTTCTAAATATTTAGATAGAAAATAATGAAAAAACTTTTTATTATATTAATTGTTTCTTATACAAATATTTAAAAACAAAAAATGAAAATAGTGACATTTTATAAATTAAACTATTAAAGTAATCACAGAAAATATATTTTTCAAACCATGCTTGCCTTAAAAATCCCTTGGGAAGTGACTTTTTAAACTTAAAAATAATGGAGCAAAGGAAAAAATGGATCCATGCAACATAAAGAATATGAGAAAGAAAATGAACTTTTGAATAAATTCTGTAGTGAATTAGTGATTTTTCCTACTTACATCATCAGCAATGTATAACATCCCGTTCTCACCCTGCACAAAGGAAGGACAAAAAAGAATAAATTTCCTGTACTTTATGCCAACAATAGAAACTCGGAACTAAAAGAACTTTAACTCTACATTCACACTGGTATTCTGGAAAGTTTCCAGGCAACTATAATCAGCCTTTCAGAGAGAAAAGTGACTAAAGATGATATGGAATCTAGCCACGGTTCTCAAATGGCAATAATTGGTTTACGAGGCTTGTTAAAATGGAAGCTCACCTTCACAGCAACAAAAAGAAGTGGATCAGATGGTGTGTAAATCATGTACTGGGCATCTTCCTGCAAGTAAAAGGCTATACATTAGAACACTGTAAATCTTACTATCTTAATGTCCACAGTTCTACTGAGGTTCGCAACAGGCCAAAGATCCCTTTGCAATCATCTAAATTTTAAATATTAGATGTGGACAACTGAACAAAAAATGCATCTTAACAAATAAAGCATTCTTCTTCATGGTGTAAACACAACATGGATGTGAGAAAGTAAATTCCGTATATGCAGCAAAGGCAAACATATAAGAAAACAAAGATAATGAATTCATGGTCTAGGATTCTTCCGGTAGACTTAGTTAGTGAAAAAAAAAGATGAGAAAACATGAGAAGCCTTCATGTATGATAACACACGCAGGGGACAAACATATAAGAAAACAAAGATAATGAATTCATGGTCTAGGATTCTTCCGGTAGACTTAATTAGTAAAAAAAGATGAGAAAACATGGTCTACGATTCTTCCGGTAGAATTAATTAGTAAAAAAGATGAAAAAACATGAGAAGCATTCATATGATAACACAGGCAGGGGACAGAAATATAAGGAAACAAAGATAATGAATTCATGGTCTAGGATTCTTCCAGTATACTTAATTAGTAAAAAAGATGAAAAAACATGAGAAGCATTCATATGATAACACAGGCAGGGGACGACAGTAACTACACCTACAAATGAAATATAAAATTATTCATCTCAGAAAATTGATCATTACCACATAAAGACAATCACAAAGCGTTATCCAATATACCCATTACACACAACAATTATAATACATCCAGATTCTAGAGAGGAGAATGATTGCAAGATAATTTTGATTCTTTGCTAACATAGAAATCGCTTAGTTAAAAATTTTCATGTTGAAAATAAATCCTGTTAGGACATGCTAGAGTAAAGGAAAATATCTTATCATATTTTAGATTATCCTTAGGGATTAGTCTCTATTTCTCATTATCTCTTGGCATTGGTTACATATTTCCCTATCCCATGATTTGTTTACCTTATTAATTAGGACTTTGATAAATATGAATAACGATTAGTACTCTAGGTTTTATAATTTATACACAAATCCATACATTTCATCACATAATAGAAAATTATACAAAGTCTCTTGATTCTCTCCTTCAATGCCAAACTCCTGGTCATAAAATTTCAATGGGACAATAGCAGAGTTGCTGATGAAGATAAATTAATAGGAGGGAGTAAGAGTAGAGGGATCATTAAAGAAATCGTTTTCCGAGACAATTAAGTGAATGAGTTGTGAAATGGGAAACCCTTTGTGAAGAGGAAACTATTGGAGGAGAGATCTTTCTCCTTGTTCGGATCATTTTCAGTCAAACAATAAAATCATTATTTACTGTTTTCAATTTACATTTTGGGAAACAAAAAATAAGACAACAAATTTGCATAATTGAAGGAAAAAAAATTACCAGGTTGAAAGATGTAATTTCTACACCTTCAGTTGGCAAGCCATCTACTCCTTTGCCGTCATCTACAAAATGGTAAAAGCATCCTATGTTATTTTCAGGGTGTAAAATTTCAAATAGTTGTGCAGTAGATTACCATTTAAGCAGTGAGTGCCTAATTAGAATGAGTTTATCACCAATCCCAATACTACAGTGTAGAGACACAATTGGGTAATAATTCCTTAATTGAACCTTACAAATTACCCTGTTCTTTTTGTTGGGATACAAACAAAGATAGGACAAGAAGAGAAACAAGAGTTTATAAAACACTCATACTTCATTGATTAAGAGGTTTTTTGAGTGATGACCAAATGCAAAATTGTGAATTTAATCTTAAAGCAGATAATATCTTATCATTGTGGTTGAATGAATATATAATTATATATGACGAGATTAATTCTTTATGACGAAAAGACATGGAAGACATCTTTCTTACAAAGCATGGTAATTGCACATGAAAATAGAATAGGAAAGAAAAATAAGTTCATATCATAATTATCCACTTGGATAGTGGTGCAGAGAGGCCAGCCCCAAAACCATTATAGCGGATAGTGAGGTGGCTACTACACTGAAGACCATAGATACAAAATAAATAATTTATACCACATATTATAGAGGGGATAAGGGGAATACAACAAAGAACAGAGAGAAAGTTATATCTTCACCAAAAAGTTGGCTTTCAAAGAAGAAAATATTAAGTAGCAGTAGTTCACATTTAGCAAATTCAGGCCCTAGCCAGCTAGTATCAAAAACATGACAAGCTTTTAGCAAATATAAATAATGTCCAAACAGCATGATGCAACAAACCACTCCTGGACTATAGAATCTAAAAATGCATAACAGCCACATTTTGAACTAGAAATTATTCTGTAATAAATTGAATACAAACTCTATTTTGTCTATATTCTGATGACAGAAACATTAAACAAAAATACTTTAGCGAAAAGGCAAGCAAAAAAATCCTTGCCTGTGTGAAAGTCAAATATGTCTTCTTCTGTGTAGCAAAAGCCACCACGTGCTGTATAACAATACCTGATTAGGAGATACAGAAATATTGTGATGATCAAACACAAAAGTTAATTTCAGATTTTTTTGGGTAACTAGAAACTGTTAACATACCCACTATAAACAAGATGCATGTGTATCTTTGCAAGTGCATAAGCTGCAGCAGGCAGAATAGATTCAACTTCCTCATCACTGATCTAAAACACAACAAAAATATGAAATTGAGTAATAAGATTCACCAAAGGGTAAAAAGAGAAAAGGAAATATGCACGGTCCATTTGGTTGGAGAAAATGTTCCTATTATATATTTTTTTTTTTCCATTTGCACTAATAATTACGAAAACATCACATCATTTTCACTTTATTTCCTCTTGCCAATGTCTTGTATTGTACTGGAATCTGTACAAATCTTTCAAAAAAGGAAATAGGTGATATATAGTGTTCAATACATTGAAGCATGGTTATCAAATCAAGATTAAATTTGAGAATCATCAAACTATTTTTTGAATCATGATCCTAATTTGCATCGTGAGATTCAAAGGCAATGAAAAACAACTTCAAATATATCATATAGGTGATATATAGTGTTCAATAGAATAATTTATAACTAGAAACAAATAAAAACAACTTAACCGTGAAACAAAATTATGTTATTTTTGAGTTTGTGAAGCCTCAACTTTTGAAAGATGTTATCAGCGTAAATGGTTGGATACCTGAAAATTCATTTAGGGATACAAATAGAGTTGCCTTATATAAAATGTTGTCTTCATCAAAACAAACTGTGAATCCTAATTTTTAAATCATTAATTACTGAATGCATAGATAAATATTACTCCTGCGTCGGGATTCGATGTAGCAACTAGCAATAGCATCATGACTAATGATTATACACACACAAATGAAGGATTAGAATGTGAGACAGAAACTTACAGCAGACCATCCATCAACTTTCGTGCTCTTCAATATTTGGACAGGCCTGCAGTAAAAATAAATAAACCCTAATATATCAGGCTTACAGAGAGAGAGAGAGAGAGAGACACCATTGCAGATTGTGCTTTTCCCTTTACTTACGTGTCAACAGGGCAAAGCAACATACATTCATCTCTCTCGGAACTTTTGAATTCTCTCCTTATCACACACTCCAACGGAAGGTCATTCGTAGTATCAACCTGTTAAAATCTAATTCAAAACTCGCCACAGAATACAAATCACACACACGCAAAACAACACAGGTGACACAGAACATTATTCACCATTACTAAAACTATAAACATCGAATCGAATCCTAAATCGTAATTAATCATCATCCTTCAGCTAATATATTCGTGAAAGTTGAAAAATAAAATTAGGAGAAAAAAAAAAAAAAAAAACACTGACGACAGTGACGAGTCGATTAGTGGAAGCGTGGATAACGTTTCCGCCGTCGTCCAAAACGAATCCGGCGGGAGGTTCGGGCAACGGCACGGAAGGATAACGGAGGGAAGAATCGGAAGAATCGGAGGTTGGGAGGGGAAATTCGTCGGCGTTGTTTTTGCGCTTCTTCTTCTTGGTCTTGCTTTTGACGGGGCCGGTGCGGGAATTGGCGGCACGGCAGAAAATGGCGGAATTAGGGATTGGAAATGAAGCTGAGATTGATGATGAAGAGAATCTGAGTAAGGCGTGAGAGTTGAAGTTGAAGCTGTGCGGTGATGAGGACTGAAACACTGCTGCTACTACCGCCATTTCTCTCTTCGCTTCTATAATACTATCTCTTCACTGTGTTCCCGTAATCATTTTATTATTATTATTTTCGGCTGCTATCTTTTAAATAAACTTAACACGCTAAATTTCTAATTTAATTCTGGATTGTTACATATAATAAAATTGTTGATTTTTCACATAATTATTTTTAATCTTATGATATATGCGATTGAAAATTTAAAAAATTATTTCAGGATAAAAAAATCTTATAAATTTTAATGTATATTCATGGTCACTTTTAATATATAAACGGTGTAAGAAAATTCACATTAAAAACGCATGAGATAAAACTCCAACTAGATGGGCCAAATCCTATTGGCACTTAAGATTCATGATATATACACCTCCTTTTTTCTATAAGTACACCTCCTTTTAAAAAAAATTAATTTTTTTAAATATTTTTAATTTTTTTAAATTTTTTTTTAATTTTACATCCATAATATTTAATTTTAGTACTTTTTTTTCACACATCATTCTTCTCTTTTTTAATTTTTGCATGCACCCCCTTTACCTTTTTTTCACCCTCCTATTTTGATAGCATGTGAAAACTAAAAAAGAAAAAAAAAAGTGTGTGAATAAAAGAAGAAAGTAGAAAATTAAAAGTTGAAGGTGTAAAATTTAAAAAATTAAAAAATATATATATAATATTTTATAAATTTTTTTTTTAAATAAAAGAGATGTGCTTATAAAAAAAAGGAGGTGTATATATCATGAGCATAGAGTTAATGGTTAGTAAAAATGAAGTTCACTTCATTTCTTAACCTACATTTGCTCCATATTAAAGTTTCAATTACTTGTAGCCCAAGCCCAATATACAACTGGGCATCTACAAATTTTTATGTACGAATTGGATGTGTTTAAGAGTTATGGGACAATTCTTTAGGTCCAGAGAATTTCATTGCCCAACTGATTTCTTTTTCTCAGTTTCACACATTTCTAACGATCCAATAAGGGAGGTACTATTCACACTCTCAAAAGTGCTATTTAAACCTTCAATCTTTTTCATATGTATATTTCTTTTAATAAAAAAAAAAATGCCCTTGATGTTGGACACCACTCACAAACAAAAATATTTTTTTCATAGTGTGAAGAGATACACAATGGAAACCTATCACGATTATGCATCAAAACACTACATAGAAACGTATTTTTGTAGAATTGCAAAATTAGACCAAATAAAAAATCTCATTTGAAATCTCCCAACCCAAGTTGCAAGAATTTGCGAGGAACCAAAAAATAGAATTAAAAACAAAACACGTAAACAAAGATTTTTAATATAAAAAATTTCTTTATATAAAAGTAAAAATTGTGACTCAGAAATAATTTTACTATTATTTCTATGGGGTACAATGAGTCTTCTACAAGTGTATCAATAGTGCTAACAATTAGTTAAGTAAATCAAAATATTAATATTTTATTGATGAGAAATAAGAAGATGAAAAATTCTCAAAATATAATTACTAGTCTAAACGATTTTTTTTTTTGTACTTTATATTTCATTTCACCAATCTAATAGTTAAAATCCAAGAAATCAAGTCTAATAATTAATTTGATCTAATAATGAATAATACATGTTTAATCATGACTGAAAGGGATAAAAATGAGAGATGATTTATTTCTTCTTCTTCTTCTTCTTCTTCTTCTCTCTCTCTCTCTCTCTCTCTCTCTATATAAGTTTCAGTTTTTGGATTTCTGCTGATTAACACTAGGACACCCACCACAGCTAGGGATAGCCATGAAACCTGATGTTGAGAACGCTACACAAAGTCCGTTACTGAATCCTCCAAGTGATAGGGAAATTGGAAGGAGAGCACAAAAGGGTACCCTTGTTTCCATTGCCTCCATCGTTTTCCTAATTTTGTCATTGGTTGCACTTGCACTCATCATCATAAACCATGAACCCTTAGAAAAGGACCAGAAAAACAATGTTAAGTCCCTGCCATTACGTCCTAGAGGGGTTGCTGAGGGGGTTTCAGCAAAGTCAAACCCTTATCTTTCAAACAAAGCTTCTTATAATTGGACAAATGCCATGTTATCTTGGCAAAGAACAGCTTTCCATTTTCAACCTCAAACCAACTGGATGAACGGTACGTAAGCCTATACAATCAATATATATATATATATTTCTTACTCTAAATAAAAGAGTTTATTTTAACTCAACTATTTGACCCCTTTCTACTTAGTTAAGTAAAAGATAACGAACTCACACATTTGAATCCAATATCTACATAACAAGATGGATTGTTAAATTTACCTGTTATCACTTAAGTAGCATATCATTTAAAAATGAAAAAATATATAATTTTTCTCATTTATATTTATTTTAATAGATAATTAATATTTATTTAAATATTAAACTTAATTTTATGTCTTTTTTCTTTAACTTTTCTTATTTCTAATACCATGTCTCGAAATGTCACTAAAGTAGTAAGGGATCATATAAATAACATTAAAATTTATAGTCAATAAATATCAAATCAATAATAAAATTAAATTTTATATTTTTAAATTATATATATTTACTTAAAAATAGATATAAAAAATAAAATTCAGTCAATAAAATATTTAATTTCAAAACATTAATAAATGAAATTGTAACTAGAAAAGCTAAAAATTAATATAAATATTGATAACTAGTTTTATATTAAATATCTTTAAAAAAAAAATCCTTGCCTGAATTCTTAGACACGACCTAACTAGAGAGGATGCATTGATCTCTTAAATGAGAATATTGTTGATAATGCTAACTTTGTGTGACACTCCAGTCTAGGAGATGAATTGACATGATGAGGTCGGTGGTTAGATATGAACTAGAATCTTGAAGTGATGGCCACAACTGAAAGACATGCAAATATAAGTGCCACCATTGTGGTGTACTTAGATAATATATATGATGACCACTTTCTTTCATGCTACTTGTAGTTGAAAGATCTCGAAGAAGAGGGTGTGGGGAAAACAATCATTTCACATCCATGTGGTTTAGGAAATTATCTTTGTGATAATGGGAAAGAACAATTAATTAATTGAATATATCCCATTCACTCATTATATGGCTATATTAATTAAATGCCTTTTGTAATCATCTAGAGGCTTCTAACTTGGAATTTAGTTAAAAGTTAATAATGATAAGTTGATTGTTGAGAACATATAGTTATCCGAAAAGACAGTGGGGGAAAAATAATCAATTGAACCAATAATACTATTTGATTACGAAATCAATGAAAACCAATGCCTATGGGACTTTTCTTAATTACAAGCACGACCTTTACAACTTGTTACCTCAACTATTATCATATTAATCTTATGTTAATAAAAAATTCATATTAATCTTATTAATGCTCTACTTGAAGGAGAAAAACAACTAAGAATCACTTAAAAAGCGATACACGCCGAAAAGAAACTAAAGATAAGCATTGCATGGATGACCATATATGAATATGATGTGCATATCTTGTAAAGTTGTTCTTTGCAAACATCTTAGGCTGCTTAGCATTATAATTTGAAATCTCAATTGAGCAATACATAGTATCGAATACAATCTATAGCATTAGAAAATCTTTCATAATCTTGATGTATTCTATTAATTAAATAGCCAGTTAATATCCAGCATGATCTGTATTAATTAATTTTTATATACGTCCATTTGTATAGGTTGAATTCTTTTATATTTGTGTACATACAACATATATTCTCCAACGTATAACAGTCTCATAATAATTGAACATACTTTAGTGCTTGGAGGAACTTAATTATAACATGTATGTGACCAACAAGAGAGATGAAAAATGATTGAAAACCCTACATGTGACCTTTTGAGTTGTGTGGCTGGCTATTTATAGTGCTCATATATGATAGTTTATAAAGTAGAACATGATAAACTTCCATGTCCATACCCTAGTGTTATGTATACGTTTTATCTTCTAATACGAGACGTATATTTATTGATTATTGATAAAATGATATAGAGAAGTATATGAGTAAGAGTATTGTAATATTTTTTGCAGTTAATTATTAGTATGAATTATTTAAATATTTTATTGATGACTAGTTTTTTTTTTCTTTTTTATTGACTACTTTAGTAGGAGTTTTATACTTCTACAATAGAATTTAATACAATAAATTTATAATATTTTTATATGAAATTTTGATTGAATACATCGATTAGTTTGTGATAAGTCTTCAAATCTTACAAGGGATAATTTTAATACATTTAAAATTTTGAGAAAGATTAGTTTTCAATAAAGTCAGTATATATTCATATAAGTACTATAGTACCAAAAAAATAATAAGAAAAAATTAATTGACTAATATAATAATTATATTATATGTATTTTTATATTTTGTTTCACTGACTCTTTCAATATTAATTATTTTATTGTGTTGAACTTGAATTGATTTGAGTCTAATTTGTTATATTTTATAATTAATGTTTGAAATAACTTTATCTTTAAATTGGTTAAAATATATATTAAAAATCATTTAAGGAAATAATGTTTTTTTTAATTTAGTAGTAAAGTTTACTAAAAATTGTAATTTTTAACAAATAATTAAAAATCTATTAAGAAGAAAAAGTTAAGAGAAAATTTCAGTAAGATTACTTATAGTTATATATAGTATGGTCCAAAAGCTTACTACACTTAGTTTTGAGAGTTGAGAGTTGAATGATGCAATGCAATAGACAGAGTGGACGTTGTACGTGTTAATATGGCCCACCACTGTCAAATCGTCCTCTCCACTTTCACTGGTTCTTCCTTCCTATCACATATTTCATTTTCATCAACATCTTCACCATTGCACTCTCACACTCACAATAAATTAAATTAAATAATCAAGTGCTACTTCTGCCTCCATCTTAGTTTAAGATTCTCCAACAAATCGCTTTTTCTTCGAGGAGTTTTGTTCACCCGAAACCAATTAACACGATAATCAATTACTATAACTTTTTCACCTTAATTAATAATTTTAAATTTAAATTCTAAATATTTAGAAAATCAACTTACTGTTTATAATAATTTTCCATCACTCGAACATAGAACATAATTACGTCCGA